GCTTTATTTTCCAAACTCCCTTACAGTTAGAACTGTGGATGACATTTAGATTCTGCATAACAGATGCACTCATCTAATACTTGGATTTGGAACCAAGTGAGGTAGGCATAGAGGCCAGGTGTGAGAAACCCATTTTGTAGATGCGAATTATAGCTAAGGTTGCCAGGTTCCAATGTCAGTGGCTGAGGCTGTGGCTTCCTGACTTAGCAGAAGTGGCTTCCCTATCACAGCAGAGGCAATGTGGCTCCCGAGCCAGCACTTTAGTAGTAGTGGTGCACTCAAAAGGCAGTTTTTGGATTGTGGTAGGAACAGCATTGTCCCTGGAGCCCCGGTTTAGTGGTTTACTTTCAAAGTCCCTCCTGTCCATCCAGCTCATAGCACGTCTCTCAGGCCTCCTAGTGATATTGCCACTTAATACCCCATATTAGTCCCTTTGTATTGATCCCCAATTAATACAGTAGATGTTCACTTCCCCTCAGTGTAAGAAATACAGTGTAATAAATGTCCTTGGTGATTTAAGTGCCTCAAAATTCCTCAAAATTGTAAGGTTGGTGGTGGCCCCCCTCCCTTCCCTAGATTAAAAAAGAAAAGGCTCAAGAGACCAGAGCCACCAAGGACAAAATTGCCAGGCCCCACTGAGAGGAACCACACCCAGATGTCCACCCGGATAAGAACATTTCTGCTCCTGGATTCCACAAATACCTCCAGCCCCTCCTATTTCTCAACGACCACCCAAGGTCACAATGGAAAATCCCCAGCTCTTCCCGCCAAAAGTCCCTAGCCAGGCCCAAAGGATATAAAAGGCCTCAGACCCTTCAAACAGCAGCAACTTCTGGAGCCCCCTTCTCTTGGGACCCCAGAACCTCATCTACAAGTGCATAATAAAGCCACGTGGTTTGGCCTCCACTCTCTCTCTCTCTCTCTCTCTGTCTTTTCTTTTCGCCACCACTGAAAAACCTTACAAAAATCATTAAGAAAATAAAGAAGAGTTTTGTTCAAATGAAATTAATGGATGCCAAATGACCTTGAACTTTCAGGAATGATTCCATTTTTTTGAACCAAATCTCCTTTCATATTACTGTAGTGTTAGGTAGATAGTGAAGGATTCTGGGTCTCCTAGGGATGGAAGTGAGTACTACTGCGGTTCACCACCACCCCCAAATGGGGTTTCAGAGAGGCTCATGGGAGGTCCACATGCACAGTAAGACTCAGGTCATATAATTCCCAACTGTCCAATCAAAGTGGTTCCATGGTGACATCTGAGGCACGAGGGAGGTCTCAATCTGTACACCATAAAACAAGACCCGGATCATAACCAAGCTCTTCCTTTTGCTCTCCCTTTGCTGTGATAATGGGTCCAATTGTTGTCTGTGGTGCATGTATGGCACTCTGTAAACCTATATCTTGCTCTTACTCTAGAATCCTGTCTTTTTCTCCTCAGTAAACCTCATTTTCATGCTTGTGTTACTTTGGTGCATCTGGTCATTCTTCGGCCATGAGCACACCAAGAACCGACATTTCAGACCCCGAAAACTAACAATAGTAAATATAGTATTAGAGGTATAGAGGAATAAGGAAATCAAATGAAGAGAATATTGAAAGCATATCCTATGATTAAATCGGTAAATAAGGCTGTGTGTTGATTGTAGGTTTAATATTTCGATAGTAAAATGGTAGTGACTTCAGCAACAGTCTAGGAAAAGAAAATGAGGGCTTGGATTGGGGTGGTAAAAAGTAGATGGAGAATAGAACAAAGACAGTGAGTGTCAGAATTTGGATTCTTCCAGAAGCAAACCTTAACAGGATAATTGGAATGCAAGTAGGTTTTTTTTGTTGTTGTTGTTGTTTTTTGAGACAGAGTCTCACTCTGTTGCCCAGGCTAGAGGGAGTGCCATGGCGTCAGCCTAGCTCACAGCAACCTCAATCTCCTGGGCTCAAGCAATCCTCCTGCCTCAGCCTCTCGAGTAGCTGGGACTACAGGCATGCACCACCATGCCCGGCTAATTTATATATATATATATATATATATATATATCAGTTGGCCAATTAATTTCTTTCTATTTATAGTAGAGACGGGGTCTTGCTCTTGCTCAGGCTGGTTTCGAACTCCTGACCTCGAGCAATCCGCCCGCCTCAGGCTCCCAGAGTGCTAGGATTACAGGCGTGAGCCACTGCGCCCGGCCAGCAAGTAGTTTTTTAAGAGACAAAAACCAACAGTGGAGTGGGAAATATGTTGGTTTTCTATTGCTGCTGCAGCAAATTACCACGCATTTGGTGGCTTAAAACATTACAAAACTCTTACAGTTCTGAAAGTCAGAAGTCTAAATCAGTTTCACTAAGCTAAAGTCCAGGTGTCAGCAGTGTTGATTCCTTCTACAGGTTCCAGAGGACAATGCATTTCCTTTCCACTTTCAGCTTCTAATGGCCACCCGCATTCCTGTCTTTTGTAGTCCCTTCTGCGACGTGCAAAGCGCATTGCTCTAGTGTCTGCTTCTATCATCGCATCATCTCCTCTTGCTCTGACTCCTGCTGAGTCTCTCTTAATAAGTGATGTGGTTACATGAGGCCCACTCCGATAATCCAGGCTGATATGCCCGTTTCAGTATTCTTAACTTAATCACATCTGCAAAGTCGCTTTTGCCATATAATGTAACAATCATTCCAGAGATTAGGGTGTAAATATAAGGTGCCATTATTTAGCCCACCTACTGCAGGAAGTGAGAGAGGGGAGGGGGCACAGTCAGTAAAGTGTGTGTTAATTGAGCCAGTTTCCATGGTGGACGACCGGAGTTCGACCCCACTAGGGAACTCTGGGAGATTGTGGAGAGCAGCTTCTCAATCTTCAATGTGCACGTGAATCCCCTGGGCCTCTTTTTGAAATGCAGATTCTGATTCTGTAGGCTCAAGGCAGGGCTAGAGATTCTGCATTTCCCACAAGCTTCCAGGTGATGCCAGTGCAGTTGATCCATGTGCCACACTTTAAATAGCATGGATGGAGGATGTACCTCTGAGCTATCCCAAATGAGGAGGAAGGACACTGGAGTATTTATTTGCCAACTTCCTGTCCTTCAGTGGTGGACAGCTGCTTCCAGGGCCGTTCCTGCTTGCCCTGTATGTGGGCAGAGAATGCTCCTGAGGCGAGAAAAAGCCTCAGGTGGAATCACAGTTGTTTACAGTGAGCAGCCTTCACTGTACAAAGGTGAATGCTAAGGGAATATGAGCAGGACACCAACAACATGTGCGACAGTGACTGACTAGTCATAGAAAGATAAGAAAAAAGAGAAACAGGATGGAGGGCAGGAGGTGGAAAGAGAAAGCATGTTAATGAGAAGGAGATTCATGCAAAGTTTGGAATCTGAGAGATCTTCTGTTCCACTGTGAGAACACTGATAACGTTAACAAATAATGGCTTTGTTTCTGTTAGGGACCGACCTTCCACAGCCCCACCGGACAGAAAAGCAGAGACATCGAGGATGCAATCACACAAGAGGAGGTTTATTTTCTGGCTAGCCAGGGTCCAAGCCCCAGAGCACCAACGCAGTGGCCACTCTCGCAGGCAAGGACCCCGACCGGAACAACGGCATGCCTTTTATCCCCACGGTGCACAAGCTGCGCACGAGCCGACTATGCATGGATCATGCGTTGACCTTTAAAATGACTGGTTGCCCACTATTGCCTTTTGAAATAATTGGCGGGTTGGTTGCCCCCTATTGCCTGATGGGCCAGTCGCCCGTGCTTCAATGACCTCATCCCATAATTCCCCTTACAGCGGCGTAGCAAGCAAGCAATGACCAGAAGCAAAGGTTTGCGGTTAGCTCATTGCCCCACCCAAGTAAATTCCTGACAATTGAAAAAATTGCTCTGCCCTTCCTCTGTCCTACAAATTCCTCTGCCCTTCCTCTGCCCTACAGTTTCCATCCAGATACTCAAACGCTTGAGTCTACACTATGCTGACTCTGGTCACCTAGAGCCTACAGAGCTGCATCAAAGCCCCTAAGTGTTTGTCTGCAGCCTATCGGAACGATGCCTCCCCTGAACCCCCAGGCCTAGGGCTCCCTCTCCACATATAATTCTCTTCCAATCTGGAGGTTACTGTGGAAACAAGCCCTCTGCAAATGCCAAGGAAGAGGTAATAAGGGGCTGGAGGAAGATTACAGTTACAAGAATGAAGGCATGAGATGTAAGAAACATTCCAGAGGACACACTTCAAAAGAAGCTGAATATCTAAGTACTAAAATTATGCTCAAGTGAATGTCATAATTTAAAGCCTGTGTAATTTTAGTTCGATTATTGATTCTTTAAGTGTCCTTAGGTAAAACTCATCTGTTGGCCAGCAGTTTCCAATGCATTAGCTGTTGACACACACAATATGTGAAACTTGGAACCATTGCCATGTAAACAAAATAAGATTTGCCTGCCATTTTGCATTATGTCAAAAGAACATAAATGAAAATCAATGTGCAGTTTTTCTTTTAGTTATGTTGCTATTGTTCTTTTTATCAAAGCAATTTCTAGAAAGGTAGTATGTTACCTGAAATATCTTCTTTGTTCAAGCTGTGAACTAAAATGCTCAACCCCTACCGGCTGACTGAATGGACCCCCTCGTGGCCAGAGGAATGTTCAAGGGCAAAGTTGCCAGCCAGGAGGAGGGAGGTCAGACAAGCCTTATCATGCCCCCCTCCCTTCTTGGAGACTTCCTTTGTAACCCATTAACAGGCCTAAGGGTATGCAAGACAAACCTGCAGGCCCTCAATTTGCAACAAAATGGCTTATCTCTGGTAAACAGTTTATGTTAAAACATTCCAGTCTTTAGACAAAGCTTCATGTCTTTAGCCAATTACAATCTAAAGAATCTTTAGACCCACCTATAACCTGTAAGCCCCTGCTTCGAGATGGCCCTCCTTTTTAGGCCAAACCAATGTATGCTTCCCACACATTGATTGATGGCCTTACCCATAACCCTTGTCTCTAAAATGTATAAAAACCAAACTGTAGGACAAGACCAGAGGCCGAACTCGGGATCTGACAAGATGGCCGGGCTGCCCCGAAGGATCATCAAGGAAACCCAGCGTTTGCTGGCGGAACCCGTTCCTGGCATTAAAGCAGAACCAGATGAGAGCAACGCCCGTTATTTTCATGTGGTCATTGCTGGCCCCCAGGATTCCCCCTTTGAGGGAGGGACTTTTAAACTTGAACTATTCCTTCCAGAAGAATACCCAATGGCAGCTCCTAAAGTACGTTTCATGACCAAAATTTATCATCCTAATGTAGACAAGTTGGGAAGAATATGTTTAGATATTTTGAAAGATAAATGGTCCCCAGCACTGCAGATCCGCACAGTTCTGCTATCAATCCAGGCTTTGTTAAGTGCTCCCAATCCAGATGATCCGTTAGCAAATGATGTAGCGGAGCAGTGGAAGACCAACGAAGCCCAAGCCATAGAAACAGCTAGAGCATGGACTAGGCTATATGCCATGAATAATATTTAAATCGATCCGATCATCAAGTGTGCATCACTTCTCCTGTTCTGCCAAGACTTCTTCCTTTTTTGTTTGCATTTAATGGACACAGTCTTAGAAACATTACAGAATAAAAGCCCAGACATCTTCAGTCCTTTGGTGATTAAATGCACATTAGCAAATCTATGTCTTGTCCTGATTCACTGTTGTAAAGCATGAGCAGAGGCTAGAAGTATCATCTGGATTGTTGCGAAACGTTTAAAAGCAGGGGCACCTCTCTGTTTTTATTCATTTCCCCCATCATGGTTTAAGTATAAAGCACTGTGAATGAAGGTAGTTGTCAGGGTTAGCTGCAGGGGTGTGGGTGTTTTTCTTTATTTTATTTTTTTTTTTGAGGGGGGAGGTAGTTTTAATTTTATGAGCTCCTTCCCCCCTTTTTATGGTGATCTAATTGCATTGGTTAAAAGCAGCTAACCAGTTCTTTAGAATATGCTCTCTAGCCAAGTCTAACTTTATTTAGACGCTATAGATGGACAAGCTTGATTGTTTGAACCAAAATGGGAACATTAAACAAACATCACAGCCCTCACTAATAACATTGTGACTTTGCTGTCGAGTGTAGATTTCTCCCTTCAAAACAAAAAAAAAAGCTTGTGACTATTTTGTATGGCTTGTCTGGAAACTTCTGTAAATCTTATGTTTTAGTAAAATATTTTTTGTTATTCTAAAAAAAAAAAACCAAACTGTAACCCAGCCACAGCGAGTCCACTTGCCCAAGGCCTCTTGGCAGTGGCTCCCGGTCATGGTCCTCAAATTTGGCTCAGAATAAATCTCTTTAAAATTATTTTACAGAGTTTGGCTTTTTTCCGTTAACAAAGCACACAAAAATAATAACTGACTTTTAGAGGCATGTGTATTATCTGTTTTGAGTTTCTGTCATCATTCATCGTCATACACCATTACTGCTGTAGCCTTTGGAGAACTTTCACTTCACTGTGGATGTAACTGATGTGATCCATCAGGTACAAGAAACATCTGGCACCAAGTCACCTTGAGCTGCATATGTCTGAGAAGGCATCATGTTATCAAGGAAGTAAAGTGATTTGGAGTTACAAGTCTGGATTTCACCATCAGCTTTCCCCAGATTGTTAACTGCATGACTTTGGGTTGATTAAATTCAAAAGCCCTTTCCTATGTCAACATTTGAGGTTTTTATTAAGAAATATTTTTTGGTAAAAAAATCAAAATATTGGTTACTGATAATGATATGGAACCAGATTAATTTAAATGCTTTGTACCCACTGCACAAACTCCTCTACTCTGAGGTTGCTGCTTTTCTTTCATATCAGTTCATTTCAGTAACTCTCCTCCCACCTGTGGGATGGGAAAACAGTAAGATGTTAAAATAAACTCAGCTGGTAAAATCCCAGCAAAGTCTGCAGTCTAGTTAATAGTAATATACCAATGTTAATGTCTTAGTGTTAACAAGTGTCCCATAGTCCTGTAAGATGTCAACTTTAGGAGAAACTGGGTGAAGGGTATATAGGAAGACCCTGCACTATCTTTGCAACTTTTCTGCAAGCCTGAATTAATTCCAAATAAAGTTTCTCACAAGAATAAGTAAACTCAACTTTGGAAATCCACCCTCCCATGCCCCATATTCATTAGCTGTGTGATTTGAAGAAACGTGATGAAATTCTCTCAGCAGCTGTTCCATCATTTGTAAAATGTGAACAGTACCACCTACTTTTCTGGTGAAGTGAAGATTAAAGATCAGATTAGAAACTTTATACATAGTTTTGGTGTTACTGCTATTGGTTTTTTAAAGGATCTGGAGTGACTTAGGGTAAAAAACAAAAGAGTACCCAGGAAAGGGCACCGCCATCAGCATTCTCCTTGGTGAGGTGACCAAATGAGTGCTGCAATTTAATCATGATTTCCTTAAAGGTGGCACTTTTATGAACATATAATAAATATACTAGAAAAGACCTAAGGAAAATAGAGGAATTGATAAATAAATCCAAATCCTAAGTGCCTGAAAAATCAATTACTATAGAAAAACTTGCAGAAAATCTAATCAAGGAAAAAAATATGAGTACATTTTGTATAGTTTCATGTTAGTAAAATTCTGAATTTTAATAAAGTAGATGTTTTTCTTTTTTAATTTTTTATTTTTAGTTATGGATACATAATACTTGTACATACTTACGGGGTGCATGTGATATTTTGGTACAAGCATACAAGTGGAATGATCAAATCAGGGTAATTGGAATATCCATCACCTCAAACAGTCATCATTTCCCTGTGTTAAGAACATTCCAATCTCACTGTTTTCATTTTTTAATATACAATAAATTATTGTTAACTATAGTCACCCTATTGTGCTACTGAACACTAGATCTTATTCCTTCTTTCTAACTGTATGTTTGTATCCCTTAACCATCCCTTCAATATCCCGCCCTCCCACTAACCTTCCCAGCCTCTAGTAACCATCATTCTACTCTGTGTCCATGAGTTCAATTTTTTTTAGCTCCCACATAGGAAGGAGAACATGTGATATTTGTCTTTCAGTGCCTGGCTTATTTCACTTAACATAATGTCCTCCATTTCCATCCATGTTGTTGCAAATGGCAGGATTTCATTCTTTTTTATGACTGAATAATATTCCATTATGTGTATCTAAAATACCATATTTCTTTATCCATTCATCCATTGATAGACACTTAGGTTGATTCCATATTTTGGCTATTGTGAATAGTGCTGCAGTAAACAGGAGTGAAGATATCTCTTCAATATACTAATTTTTTTTCTTTTAGATGTATAAGCTATATATATCCAGCAGTGGGGTTGCTGGATCATACAGTAGTTCTATTTTTAGCTTTTGGAGAAACCTCCATACTGTTCTCCATGGTAGTTGTACTAATTTATGTTCCTCAACAGTGTACGAGGGTTCCCCTTTCTCCACATCCTAGCCAGCATTTGTTATTGCCTGCCTTTTGGATAAAAGCCATTGAAACTGAGGTGAGATGATATCTCACTGTAGATTTGATTTGCATTTTTCTGATATTAGTGATATTGAGCTCTGATATTAGTGATATTGAGCATTTTTGTATATCTGTTGGCCATTTGTATGTCTTCTTTTAAGAAATGTTTATTCAGATAATTTGTTCATTTTTTAAAGTGGATTATTCGTTTTTATCCTATTGAGTTGTTGGAACTCCTTATATATTCTGGTTATTAATCTTCTGTGAGATGGATAGTTTGCAGATATTTTTTCCCATTCTGTGGATTGTCACTTCACTTCGTTGATTGTTTCTTTTGCTGTGTAGAAGTTTTTTAGCTTGATGTGATCTCATTTGTTCATTTTTGCTTTGTTGCTTATGCTTTTCAGGTCTTATTCAAGAAATTTTTTCCCAGAACAATGTCCCTGAGCATTTCTCCAATGTTTTCTTCTAGTGGTTTCATAGTTTCAGGTCTTAGATTTAAGTCTTTAATCCATCTTGATTTAGTTTTTGTATATAACAAGAAATAGAGGTCTAGTTTCATTCTTCTGCATATGAATATCCAGTTTTCTCAGCACCATTTATTGAAGAGACAATTCTTTCCCCAGTCAATGTTCTTGGTGCCTTAGTTGAAGACAAGTTGACTGTAAATGTGTGGATTTATTTCTGGGTTCTTCATTCTGCTCCATTGGTCTATGTTTCTGTTTTTGTGCCAATACCATGATGTTTTGGTTACTAGAACTTTGTAATGTAATATGAAGTCAGGTAATGTGATGCCTACTACCTTCAGCTTTGTTCTTATTGCTTAGGATTTCTTTGGCTATTCTGGGTCTTCTGTGGTTCCATATGAATTTTAGTATTATTTTTTCCATTGCTGTGAAGAATGTACTTGGTATTTTGATAGTGATTGCCCTGAATCTGTAGATTGCTTGGGGTAGTATGGACATAAAATTGATGTTTTCCTGATTTAAAAAAACACCATCAATTATCAGAGTTGAATCAAGAAGAAGAAAAAATGGTAAATAAACAAATATCCAAGAAAGAAATTGAAAAAGGTTATGAAAAAATGATCTTGAGATAAGATTCCTGAGTCAGAGATTTTTACTGGTAAGTTCTCTGAAACTTTCAAGAAATAGTTATTCTAATACTACGTAAATTATTCCAGAACCTAAAAGAAGCAAAACATTCAAAATTCATTTTACAAAATTATAGTACTTTTATTAAAAACCTGACAAACATACAAAGAAAAATAAAACTATGCTCTCACTTAAAAATAGGGATACAAAAATCTAATTAACATATACTAATTTAATCAAACTAACATTTCATTTAAATAATCTATCATAATTAAATCAGTGTTATGATTCTTACAAAAATGGAAAAATGACAATGTGAGAAGATGTGGTAACAAGTCAATTAAAAGACCAACTAGGAAAAGCATATGATATTCTCAAAGTTATTGAAAAGGCATTTTATAAAACAAAACCCCTATTCCTGAACTATCATAAAACTATAATTAGAAAGCCGGAAACTTAATAGGAATTTTAAAGTCTATATCAACCACTAAGATCAAGAAGAAGGCAAGGATGTCCACTCTCACCACTTTTATTCAGCATAGTTCTAGAAGTCCTAGCCAGAGGAATTAGGCAAGAAAAAGAAACAAAAGAAATACAAATTGAAAATGAAGAATGAATTCACCTCTGTCTGTAGATAAAATGACATTGTAAAAAAAACAAAAAACCTTAAAGATTCCAAAAACAAAATCTGTTGCAATTAAAGAAATTCAGCAAAGCTGCAGGATACAAAATCAACACTCAAAAATCAGTTGTGTTTCTATACACCAACAATAAATAATTTGAAAAGGAAATTAAGAAAATAATCCCATTTATAATGGTATCAAAAAGAATAAAATATTTAAGAATAAAGTTAACCAAGGAGGAAAAAGACTAGAACACTGAAAACTATAAAACATGATGAAAGAAATTAAAGACCCAAATAAATGGAAAGACATTTCATGTTCATAGATTGGAACACTTAATATTACTAAAATGTCCATACTACCTAACGCAGTTTACAGATTCAATGTAATCCCTATCAAAATCCCAATGGCATTTTTTTCAGAAATAAAAAAAAAATTGCTAACATTCAAATGGAATCTCAGAGGACTTCGAATAACTAAAACAA